CTGAACAACTACTCTCATCAAGCCCCATAAGTTCAAGAGAAAATTAGTACAGCCGGTGCAGTAGCTCACACCTGTAATCCTAGCACTTTGGGAGGCCGAGGCGGGCAGATCACCTGAGGTCAGGAGTTTAAGACCAGCCCCGCCAACATGATGAAACTCCATCTCTACTAAAAATATAAAAATTAGCCAGGCAAGGTGGCACATGCCTATAATCCCAGCTACTCAGGAGGCTGAGGCAGGAGACGCTTGAACCTGGGAGGCAGAGGTTGCAGTGAGCCGAGATCGTGCAACTGCACTCCAGCCTGGGTGACAGAGTGAGACTCTGTCTCAAAAAATAAATTTTTTTTTTTTTTTTTTTTTTTTTGAGACGGAGTCTCGCTCTGTTGCCCAGGTTGGAGTGCCGTGGCCGGATCTCAGCTCACTGCAAGCTCCACCTCCCAGGTTCACGCCATTCTCCTGCCTCAGTGCCGATAATCATCAATATGATGGTATATATTACATCACATAAAAGGATATGGAAGTGAATGCAGGAAAAATGAGCAGAGGTTTAGATCTGAGGGAAACTAATGTTTCTAAAAAGGTAAATAATTAACCATTGTTGGTAAACAGAAAAAAAGGATAGCCAGGTATGATGAAAGTCAAAGTGAACAGTAATTTGAAATGCAGCTGACAGTTTCAACTCAAGTACAAGAAATATGGATAAGAAATATGAGATAGTGTCAGCTGGAAAATAAGCCTTGGATACTTCTGAGTAGGAGCCCACTGATCTGGTTTGATTACTCCCCACCTCACTTTTGTAAGCAGCTGCATCCCAAAGAGCTCAGTAAAAAGAAGTCATTGTGAGAAGTAGGTAGCTTAGCCTAGACCTCTAGGCCCTAGAGTTATGAACTTTTTTTTTCCTAGTAGAGTTGGCGGTCTCACTATGTTGCCCAAGCTGGTTTCAAACTCCTGGCCTCAAGCAATCCTCCTACCTTGACCTCCCAAAGTGCTGGGATTACAAATGTGAGCCACTGAGCCCAATCAGTTACAAACATTTGAATGAAAAGTACCCAAAGCAGAGAAATGCTTGTGATATAATTTTAACTTGTCAATTTCTGGAAATCTGTTAATATTTTAAAACCCTACATGTACACTATGTGTAGATTTACTTTTATAGAGATGTGCTTACCTGAACTAATTTAAACATTTCATCTTGGAGCATCTGCCTAACGGACTCTGAACAATCTGATAACTGAGCCTTGCATTCATTTCTCTGGGTCTTCTGAGGTGTTGGAACAGGTGGTTGTGAAGCAACACTGACTCCATTTGATGATATCAGAGGTGGAACTGAGGAAGATTTGTCTTTATATGTAGAAATCTGTGCACTATGTGGAAAACATTTAAATAAAAAACATGCATTAATTGACAAAAAACAAACTGAATGTCTATGATCTGAATATTCTGATCCCACTTTTGTCTTCCAATTTAAAGGTTATTCTGGTAGTTTTCTAGAAATTTAAACCCTAAAGCCTTTCTCTCTAATGCCCGTCAGCCCCCAGACACATTCGTCATCAGCTCAATTTTCATCTTTATTAAGGGACTGTCTAGTCAGTGATGAGCTCCTTCACAGGGTGTTGCAAACCCAAGAGCTGACATGTATTTTACTTGCCTGGTCCCTGTGGACATCTAAATTTGAGACCTGTGGAATCATTCTGACTAACTGTACAGACTTCATAATTTGTAATTTTGTTTAGAAATATGTTTTTGACTAAAATTAATGAACCAGCATAGAGTTAAGAAAACTAAGGAAAAAATAGGATTAAAAAATTTAATTCTAGGATCAGTAGAGAAAACTACTGTTTATTATCATTAAATGTGAAACAACAGTACTGTGAACATTTCATTTCCAAGCAAACCTCAGAGTTTAAATGTATTATAAACCCTAATAAAAATGCTTATTTACAAACAAAAATTAAGGATCAAAGCAAGGTGTTTAGCTGTTTTTGTTTTTTTTTTTTTTTAACAAAATGACTGTTGGGGAATTGACTATCTCAAACAAATGACTCATAACAAAATGACTATCTCAAACATAGCAGATACTCAAAGTTTTCTACATTTTATAAACTAAGCAACAGAGCAGGCAATTATCAGATTCAAATAGATCATTATTTCCAAAAAATAAAAGAACATATTAAATTTCATATAGACTTATTTAGGTTTACACTCATTCCCATCTGTGAATTCTATTTGCCTTTTACTGAGCATCTAACACACCCAATAAAAAGCTTTATTTGGCAAATTCACAAAAAAATAGGCATTACAGGCCGGGCGCGGTGGCTCAAGCCTGTAATCCCAGCACTTTGGGAGGCCGAGACGGATGGATCACGAGGTCAGGAGATCGAGACCATCCTGGCTAACACGGTGAAACCCCGTCTCTACTAAAAAATACAAAAAAAAACTAGCCAGGCGAGGTGGCTGGCGCCTGTAGTCCCAGCTACTCGGGAGGCTGAGGCAGGAGAATGGCGTGAACCTGGGAGGCGGAGCTTGCAGTGAGCTGAGATCCGGCCACGGCACTCCAACCTGGGCAACAGAGCGAGACTCCGTCTCAAAAAAAAAAAAAAAAATTGGCATTACAATTGATCTGCCTTTTCTTTTTTTGCCAAAGTGAAAGCTTTGAGTGTTGCTCCTTGAGAATCATGTTTCTCACAGCTGCTACCAGCCTCCACTGTCCCCAGCTTTCTTAGCTGGGTGACGAGCGAGTTAGTTGCCCAGTGACAGGGATCTGGAATCTAAAGAGTGAACTGGAGACAAAGAAGGTTTAGGAGGCACCCTGTGGGGACTGAGTTCCTGAAGTGTAATGGAAGAGGGCATGGGTTTCAGGCTGGCTCCTCTTCAGGCATTCCTAGTAAAGCCACAAGGGGCTCTAGGGCTGTAGAGGTCCCCTTGAGCACAGGGTGGGTGCATTCATGCTTGCACAAGTCACTGGCACTCAAGAAGGCCTTGGGACAGTAGGGGCAGGTGTAGGGGTAAATTGAGTTGTAGGTACAGCTGGATGTGCACAGCCCAGCCCAGGCTCAGAAGCTCTTTAAACTGAGTGCAACGAAAGGGCCGGATATGGGTGTGAGCACTCATGCAGACACAACAATATTTTGTGAAGGTCTCCTTGCACAAACAGATTTGCCCATTTTAAAACAACTTTATTGGGCTTTGCTTTCAACAGGTCTCAAGGAGATTGATTCTAACTATGAAAATTTTTTTCTGAGGTAAAGCTGTGCTATATTTTCTTCCTATTTCTGCAAGACTTCTAAACACTAAGCACTCTGTTCAAAAGAACTGGATGAATCTGTTCTATGAGAGAATTAAAAGCATTTCAAACACTGTAAGAAATCACTTAGAAGCTGAAAATGAGCAACAACTTCATCTTTCAATAATATATCACTACTTTTTTTCAGAAAAGACTGTTCTAACATAGTTCCTGTATAACTTTAAAATACAATCGCTAGTGGAAACTCAGTAAAGATGTCAGATATGCATGCTTATGCTGCTCTTTCAGTGTTTTATGTTGCTTTTATTTTCTTAGTTTTTAGTCAAAATACAACAATTGTTTCAAAAATGGTACAGTTGGCATATTTTCACTCTGATTTGTAAAACACAACTATTTTTAAATGGTACAGTAGGCAAAACTTCTTACCTAGAAATGTCCGAACTTGTATCTACTTGCGTTGATTGAGGTGTGGTATGCTCAGGATGTGAAAAGGCTTCGATCATACTATCAATAAAAATTAATAGGTGATTAGGAAGCAAGATATTCTTTGCATTATCTAAGGTACGAGTGATCTGTGCTCAGCCATCTAAGAGTCTAAACATCCTCTAATCTTCTATAATGTTTAGCTCATAATCACAATCTGTTTACATTTGTCTCCATAGCAATTAGTAACAGACCTAAGCAAAAGCAAAAAAAATATGTCTGGATGACTTAAAACACCACTTAAATACTGCTGACTGCTCAGCAATGAAAACAACAGAACCCAAAATGAGGGGACATGAGGTTAGCTAAGACCCAAATTTCACCTATAGAAGAGGCTGACACTTTGCTCAGAACACTAGAGCCCACTGACACATTTGAAACTGTAAAGAGGCTGGGCATGGTGGCTCACGCCTGTGATCCCAGCACTGTGGGAGGCCCAGGCAGATGGATCTCCTGAGCTCAGGAGTTTGAGACCGGCCTAGGTGACATGGTGAATCCCATCTTTACGAGAAATACAAAAAAATTAACTAGGCATGGTGGTGCGCACCTGCAGTCCCAGCTACTCAGGAGGCTGGGGCAGGAGGATGGCTTGATCCTGGGAGGTGGAGGTTGCAGTGAGCCAAGATTGCACCACTGCACTCTACCCTGGGCAACAGAGCAAGACCCTGTTTCCGAAAAAAAAAACAACAACAACAACAACAACAAGAAAAAAGAAACTGTAAAGTTTAGTATTTGTCTTATCTCTCTCTTTTCTTGGGTAATATTCCTAAGGAATAGTTTTTATGAATAGAAGTATCTAAATTACTTGTAAAGGCACATAGTATTAAATATATTCTTTGTAATTGTCCACAGAAAACCTAACAAAATTTGTATACTGAAAAGAAAAAGAAAATCTAATTATGTTGCCTTTATTTTTTTTTTGAAACGGAGTCTTGCTCTGTCGCTCAGGCAGGAGTGCAGTGGCACGATCTTGGCTCACTGCAAGCTCCGCCTCCCCGGTTCATGCCATTTTCCTGCCTCAGCCTCCCGAGTAGCTGGAACTATAGGCACCCGCCACCACGTCCGGCTAGTTTTTTATATTTTTAGTAGAGACAGGGTTTCACCGTGTTAGCCAGGACGGTCTCGATCTCTTGATCTCATGATCCACCCACCTCGGCCTCCCAAAATGCTGAGATTACAGGCATGAGCCACCGCACCCGGCCATGTTGCCTTTCTTATCTAAGGGAATTCTAAAATTCTAGAACTTCTAAAATTCTAAAGATTTAGAAATATGTCCAAACTGCAACACATGAAAACTTCCTTCAGCTCTCCCTGAAGCAATAAGCTAGCCGGCAGTGTAAGTGTACATCATAGCCCTAATGAATAGTGTATAGTAATCACCACGACAGTGAAAGATTTTATACATACATAAAATAATTCATAATGGTTCTTTATTTGATTCAATAAATATGGAATAAGTATGAAAAGTGGTTCCCTAATTAGCAGCTAAATAAGCTTTGGCCCATTTACAGCTTTATTTTGATAAGGCTGATAGTGATGAGAGAACAAAAGGCATTTTAGAGATCATTATTTATTTTGCTCTATCAATACATAGAAGTATAACATTTACCAAAAATCATTTTACCATAACTATAAGCTGAAGTTACAGTTTCAGTAGAAACACAATACCACCCTAAATCATGTATTGTAAATTATGAAGGAAAAAAGCTGAAAGCTTCACTGAAGTAACCAGAGACAATCACTGTCATACTTTTTCCCCCTTACCCTTTCTGTTCAGTCGATTTTTCCTCCGTATTTGTCTCCAGTGGTTCTTCCCTTTGACACTGAACCTCTTCTGTGAACTCCTTTTAAAATTGATAGTATGCAAAAAGAAAACAGGTAAAACAAATAGGTATTACTGTCTTGAGTATTTTCAGTCTCATATTAGCTGCTTAACCAGAGTAACAACAGTCTACAAGCAAGTGAGAAATCACACAGTAAAATGTACTCCCAGTCTTGCTCTGACCAAATCTTTATACTGTGTGAACTGCCTCCAGTCTGCCACACTGGGCTATTGAGCATGCTAAGTTACAAAGACAAGACTGTGTCAATAGACTAACACACTGTAAATTATATACATATAACACTACATGATCATTCATTTCCCTGCAAAAACAACTATAAAACCAGGAAAAATGAATCCATTTTAAAAGAATTGTTACAAGGCAGGTGGATCACTTGAGGTCAGGAGGTCAAGATCAGCCTGGCCAACATGGTGAAACTCTATCTCTACAAAAATTACAAAAAATTAGTCAGGCACGGTGCCGCATGCCTGTAGTCTCAGCTACTTGGGAGGCTGAGGCAGAATTGCTTAAACCTGGGAGGCTGAAGCTGCAGTTAGCCAAGATCACACCACTACACTTCAGCCTGGGCAACAGAGCAAGACTGTCTCAAACATAAAAATAATAATAATAAAGAACTGTTACAACAGATAGGGCACAGTGGCTCACACCTGTAATTTCAGCACTTTGAGAGGCTGAGGCTAGGAGTTCAGGACCAGCCTAAGCAACATAGCAAAGCCCAGTCTCTACAAAAAAATGTTTTTAAAAAAATTAGCTGGGCATAGTGGTGCGCACCTATAGTAGGACCCAGCTACTTGGGAGGCTGAGGCAAGAGGATGACTTTATTCCAGGAATTCCAGGCTGCAGTGAGCCACGATTGTGCCACTGCACTCCAGCTTGGGCAAAAGAGCAAGACCCTCATCTCAAAAACAAAAAACAAAAAACAAAAAACAGAACTGTTACAATAATTGGAAATGTCTATGTTCCCCCTGGAAATTCAATGTATAGAGTTTTGAGAAAAATAATACCAAAAGCATATATATGTATAAAAAGTACAGCTGAAATATACTTTTTAATTTTTTTTTTTTAAAGACAGGGTCTCACTCTGTTGCCCAGGCTGGAATGTACTAGCACAATAGAGCTCACTACAGCCTCAAACTCCTGAAGTCAAATGATCCTCCCACCTCAGCCTTCCAGGTAGCTGAGACTACTACAGGCACATACCACCATGCCTGGCTATTTTTTAATTTTTCGTAGAGATGGAGTCTTGTTCTCTTGAGCAGGCTGGTCCAAAACTCCTGGGCTCAAGCAATCCTCCCGCCTCAGCCTCCCAAAGTGCAGGGATTACAGGTATCAGTTGCCATGCTTGGCCATACTTCCATACTTTTTTTTTTTTTTTTTTTTGAGACGGAGTCTCGCTCTGTCGCCCAGGCTGGAGTGCAGTGGCCAGATCTCAGCTCACTGCAAGCTCCGCCTCCCGGGTTCACGCCATTCTCCTGCCTCAGCCTCCCGAGTAGCTGGGACTACAGGCGCCCGCCACCTCGCCCGGCTAGTTTTTTGTATTTTTTTTAGTAGAGACGGGGTTTCACCGTGTTAGCCAGGATGGTCTCGATCTCCCGACCTCGTGATCCGCCCGTCTCGGCCTCCCAAAGTGCTGGGATTACAGGCTTGAGCCACCGCGCCCGGCCCCATACTTTTTAAATAAAGGACACGTTTGCTACTCTTGATTAAATAAATTTGCTGAAGCAGTTTATGGCATGAAAATTTCATTGCCTGAAATTATTGGACATGTTACTATACTGTACTAGAATTTCAGGGAAAGAAAAATGCCACACAGCATGGCTATATTCTACAACCCATAGTGCATTTTTAAGAGCTAGCCTTGCTTTGATATATTTAATAACAATGAATAAAAACATGTATAATTTAAACACTACACAAAATGAAAGATGAATAATTGTATCCACTATTTATTGACTTACTTCTTCTAACTGCTGTGGTAAAGTCATCATGCAAATGCCAAGATTGGGACTTCTGAAACCTCCAACAGATTCTTTAATGTCTTCTAGCAATAAGGAAAGATGAAGAGAAAACTGATCATTAAAAAAATTAAACTATTGACTTTTTAGGGGGCTCAGGGAATATTACCAGAAACAATATAATGACAGAAATATTTTCTATCCTTTTTATAAAGACAGTCTTTGAAAACACCTGGAGTCTATTCCATCTTCATCAGGTAAATTCCAGATAAGCCTTGAGAGGCCTTATTATTCAGTATGTTTAACTCTATGTAGTGCTCTGAGAGTTTGTGTTTTAAGGAAGACTGCTGGGGAGAGGTTTGTAGAGTTGCTTCACAGAAATTAAGAGACCATAATTATTACATAAGCAGCACAACAGGCCCAACAATTGTAAAAGAGCACCAACATAAAAATACCTTAGATCTTCTTGGTTTTATCAAAACCAAAATTAGAGTTAATATGTTCAATGTTTCATAAATATTTAATTCTCTTAATTTTTCATTTTAGGCTCCTGTAAACACACTTACGTGGAAGACTAAATAAGTTATCTCAGACAATATTATTTACCAATTTCAAATTAATAAAGCCAAAAAAATAGATTATCTAAATAAACTGACCTTCATAGTCTGATATGTGCATATCCATTTCCTCTTTTGTAAATGCTTGTACTTCTAAAAGATTCTCATCAGTATCTATAAATTCTTTTTTAGTATTATGAATGACGGAAATAATCTCAACATTGATTTCTTTTATATCAGGATTTTTTGCTTCAGTTGGCATTCTACTGAAAAAAATGCAGCAACTAAAATTACAACTACTCTTGGAGATAAAGAGCTACTTTACATTATAATTCAGTTTTTGTTTTTGTTTTTTTTTGAGATGGAGTCTCGCTCTCCCGCCCAGGCTGGAGTGCAATGGCGCAATCTTGACTTAATTCAGTTTTTTAAAAACAAATATTTATAAAATCTTTCTTAAAAAAATTCTGATACATAGAAGCTCAGTTAAAGATTGTTCAGTAGGCCAGGTTCCGTGGCTCATGCCTGTAATGCCAGCACTTTGGGAGGCCGAGGCGGGTGGATCACCTGAGGTCGGGAGTTCGAGACCAGCCTGACCAACATGGAGAAACCCCGTCTCTACCAAAAATACAAAATTAGCTGGGAGTGGTGGCACATGCCTATAATCCCAGTTACTAGGGAGGCTGAGGCAGGAGAATTGCTTGAACCTGGGAGGCGGAGGTTGCGGTGAGCCAAGATTGTGCCATTGCACTCCAGCCTGGGCAACGAGAGTGAAACTCCGTCTCAAAAAAAAAAAAAAAAAAAAAAGATTGTTCAGTAAATAACTAAACATCCTAGTTTTTATTTATTCAAATGATTGGAATAATTTCAACTTATCTAAAATTATCATTCTCACAAAGGACTATTCATGCTATAATGGCTTTTGCCTTGGGATTCAAAGCTATGTTACTCCTAGCATTGCTTCATATATAAAAATGGACGAAAGGATTAGTTCAACTTCTGATATGGGAAATAAATTGATAAAGGAATCTCTCAGGATGAATTAATTGCTGTCTCAGAAAATATAAGCTAGACCAAGAGGGAAAAAATACAATTTGCAATGAATTGTTAAAGCACCTCAGAAAGCTTACTGCCTGTTCCTCTACTTCAAAAAATGCTCATTCCTTTAACTTTCAAGGGTTTGATTCTTCCCTTTAAGCCCAAAGGCCATCAGACCAGGTGTCTTATATTGAAAAGAAGAGTATAATCAGCAACTTACTTCAAGATATTTTGACAAGATTTATTCTGACCATTTCTTTCCTCTGTTCCACCTGGAGTTGCTACTGCAACTGAACTGCCAGCATCTGATTTGCTCTCCCTTTCAATACTGGGTCCAACCTGACACCGAGTGTCACGATTCTCTACCATCTAAAGCAAACCATTTACAGTATTTAGTATTTATTGAACCCTTTATTTTTCACCATATTTTAAAATTATTCATTCTTTCTACAGGAATTCTGAATAATCCTCTTATTCATTTATCAAATATTTACTGCATTTCCACAACTCAATATTTGTTGCTGAAGCAATGATCAAGTCTTTATTCTAACTGGAAAAGCAAATCTGACTACCTAAATAGTATTCAAAAGAAATCAGCCTTACACATTTGCAAGGGATATTGTCATTGTTTTCAGGCCACGAAACAGTGGCAAAAAAATTATAATATTCTCATTTCATTCCCTTTGCTATATCATAAAGACATTCAGTAGTTATTTCAAAATGACATAGTAAACAAAAATACATGCAGCTAAAAACACAAGGTACGTATCCCTTTTGTCTCAATTAAAATTTCCATATACATTACCTAGAAATACAAATTTCAAGGATGACAAATATCACAGTATCATATAAACTGTATACCTTATGATAACAGAAACCAATCTCAAGGAAAAAAAAGAGGACTGGTGTGGTGGCTCACGCCTATAATCCCAACATTTTGAGAGGCTGAGTTAGGAAGATCACTTGAGCCCAGGAGTTTGAGACCAGTTTGGGTAACAAAGGGAAATTCTAAAAAATTTAAAAATTAGCCAGGCATAGTGGCATGAGCCTGTGGTCCCAGCTGCTTGGGAGATTCAGGTGGAAGGATCACGTGAGCCCAGAAAGTCAAGGCTACAGGCAGCTCTAATCCTAAGACTGCACTCCAGCCTAGGTGATAAAGCAAGACTCTGGACCAGGCGCAGTGGCTCACACCTGTAATCCCAGCACTTTGGGAGGCCGAGGCGGGTGGATCACGAGGTCAGGAGTTCAAGACCAGCCTGGCGAATACGGTGAAACCCCGTCTCTACTAAAAAATACAAAAATTAGTCAGGCGTGGTGGCGCGCACCGGTAGTCCCAGCTACTCGCAAGGCTGAGGCAGGAGAATTGCTTGAATTCAGGAGGCAGAGGTTGCAGTGAGCTGAGATCATGCTACTACACTCCAGCCTGGGTGACAGAGTGAGACTCCATCTCAAAAAAAAAAAAAAAAAAAAAAAAAAGCAAGACTCTGTCTCAAAAAATAAATAAGTAAAAAATAAAACAAATTCACATACACACACACACACACACACACACACACACACGCGCGCATTCACATCCTTCAGCCTAGAATAAACTACTTTGGAATAAAGGCACTTGCCATTGACTAGGGAAGAAAGAATAGTTAATTAAACACTAACTCCTCTACTGACTCCCATCTGCCTTTCTGGGTTTGATTCTTCAACCTCTTCTGGCCTGAGAGTATAAGAAAAACAATCCACTAATGGACTTGATGAGACATCAGTAATTAAAACTAGAGAGCTACCTAGTCCTTCATCTGAACCAAAACCTGAAACCGAAGAGAGAAATAATATAACTGTAATACCACTTGTAATATCACTAAAATTATCTCCTTCCCCTTTTTCGTTTTTATAAATACACACAAAACTTCAAAACCTCACAGCCTCTCTGAAAAGCACGTTCACTTTAACTATTGTTAAGAATTAAAGGAACCACTAGAAGAAAAAAATAGGAGATACTGATTATAATCAACATTGTTATTAATTTTCTATTATTTAATGATTCTTTAATAGATGGGAAATGTAAACATAGTTTTAATCTAAAATGAGAATTCTCGTTTGTATGTAATGAACAATTGATATGCTTACCTGAATAATGGCATTTTTTGCCTTATATGTAGCAAAATAGGGTTGTTCCAAAAGCCATAATGATGTAAGAATGGCAGCTGTAGAGGTCTTTACACGAATTACTGGACTGTACTCAGAGGACGACTCAGTTATACCAGAATCACAGAGTAGTCTTCTATTAGACCACCTTATCATCCATTCCAGCAGTCTTCCTATACTGCCAAATGTGTTTAGTGCTAAAGGAAGATCTTCTTGAGGGTTAATATCATTGCACTGAATAGCTTTGAAAATACATCTTCTAGTTTTAATGGACTTGGGAGTCCAAAAAATGTTGTTTGATGATCTCTGGATTAGACATTTTTCTCTAGTGTCATCTTGTATTTTGTAAATTGACTTTTGTTTTAAACCAAATAATCCACTCATTCGTTCATTCTTATTGACTTCATTCAAAGGATATTCTAAAAAAGGTTTGATCCCTTGATTAACCAGTACCGATGATGAAAGTTCCTGGTTTTCTAAATGCATGCCATACTCATCATTTAAAGAGGATGATTTTTCTGATTCATAGGACTCAGGAGCAACAACAAAGCAAGAACCAGCTCTAAACACATTCTGGCTTTTAGTTTTGCTCTGACGTCGTTTTAATGTTGTATGTACATCAAAAAGTAAAGAATTAAGTTCATGTTCTCTAAGCGTTCCAGAAAAACTGGTTAGAAATGGAATTCCAGCATCCCTGGAATAAGGTAGGTCTCTTTCAAGAATGTAACTCAAAAAGAGATCAAGGAATTTAATATATTCATCATCGTCACGTTCAAATTCCCAAACACCTATTACAGGAAGTGTATTTTGTGATAACTTTTCATGATCTTCTTTCTTTGTAGGATTTTCCTTCTGATTACACATTTTCTTTTTATCAGTGAGCTTACCAATCGATGTTAATTCCATGTGATTTGGGGCATTTCTACAGCAAAAAAATAAAATAAAATAAGACAGAATTAAAGATCATTTAATCACTAAAACTGATATTAGAATTGACATGAAAAATTCTCTCCAATGATTAAGTCATGTATATTTTGTGTGCCTTGATTACATATATTTCAAATGAGGGAGTGGGACTAAATGATTTCTAAGTGTTTTCAAGAGTGGAACATTTCTACGAGATCAAAAAAAATTAATATCAAAAGGGAAAATTTGTATTAGAAGAGATTAAAATGTGTCCACAGAAATTTCACTATAAAAGAACATGAATGATTTTTCTGTGGGTAAAAAAAAAAAATAGTCCTCTAATGGGTCAGATTTTAGGAATACAAAGTCAACAAAAACTCCAAGCCACTGATACACAACAAAATTTAGGATTTCTTTTCTTGCATCTGCCCGCTCAGCTCCCCTAATACCATGTGTAACAAGCAAGACTGTCCTTTTTTGTTTTACCACACAAAATTAGGAACTTTTTCTAAACACTTTTAGCTGCTATGAAACCAGTTAGGCAGATACCTTAACTGCCCAACCACAATTCCTTTTAAATGTTTCTTCTTAGCGTGGTTCTTAGGGCAGAACACAGATCCTTAGTTCCCTCAGTAAGAGAACAGGTATTGGCCACTTGGGCTGAAAGCATCCCATCCCTTCTGCTTGAGGCAATTTCCTTCCCTGAAATATTTCCCTTAAAAATATTAAGGAAATTTAAGGAAAAATTTTCCTTAAAAATAATATGGCTAACTCAGTAACCCAAAACTATTTAAGTCTAAAGATAACTTTAAAAAACTGAAAGTCCTCCAGTGAAGCGTAGAATTTCATCTACTCCTCTGATTTTATAATTTCAGATGGCAAAATTATTTCATATATCAATAATACTTAAATTTTCGAATGTACAGTCTCATTTTATACTCCTAATATTCTTATGAGTGGAGGGGGTGGCACTTATCATTCATATTATTAATAGTGCAATCTGTGAGGGT